GGATGGCGGACCAAGATTATACGAGTTTACCACTAGAAGCAATCCGCGAGTTGCCGCCGGAGTTGGTAACATTTCGTGATGTGTGCCAACTTGGCGGCATCTAAGATGCCGCCAGGTGGAGCAGATTACAACCGGCCCTGGAGTTGACTTTCATTTAAAAGGCCTTGCATACTGAGGTCTCACAATTTATTTCGAGCATAAGGTCGTTACTGTACGCAGGTATTTTTCGCAAACACTTCATCGTTTTTATAGAGACCATTTCTTGCAAATCCATGCCGGACGCCGTACAAAATGTACTCTCTTTTTTTTCTGGCCACTAATCTTTTTGTTCCCAAATTTTTATAGATGTTCTTTCAAAACTTGATAAATGTTTCCTGTAGATTAATTAAAGCATTTGACGACATGAATTGGAGTTGATGTTCAACAGTAGTTTTTTTTTGCCGGCAGTGATGCAAAAATTACTCGCCGTTTATTCTAGCGCACCCTATGCGTGGTCACATAAACAGATGCCCCAAAATAATGCGCAATAATAACTCTCTCGCTTTGACTGTAGAGCTGGCAACTTGGGTCTACAGTGGGGAGCAAGCCGCCGTTCTTTCTTGGTTACTTTAAGATTGCGGTAGAAACTTCGACAAAGATTTTCTGACAGTGATGGCCATATTTTGCCTAAAAAAACAAAAAAGCCAAAAAAATATTACGCTAAGCTGATCGAAGCTGATTCCAAATATGAAATTTCCACTTCTGTGATGCTTCTTTCGGTTATCTAGGTAAATCGTGACACCGGTTTTCCATCGTTTTCCAGAAATGTGACTACACCGTCAAAAAAGCTTCTGTTCGACGGCATATCACTACTGGTCTTACATACTGGAAGTTCTTACTGTAACCTTACAGTAACGAAAAGCGATCGGTGGTTCTTCCTTTACTGCAAATCTAAGCAGAAGCCAGCGCTACGGATTGTTACTTACAAATCGGAGAAAGACATCAAAGCAAGAGAGTTATCAACGATAAAACAGCGTGCACATTATTTTGGGACTCCTGTACTTATATATGACATACAATGTGGTCTCTCACACATCTTCAGTTAAAGTGCTTCAATGCACACTGGCATGCTAAAACTTCCTTTTACATCAAGCCTCACATCATGATGCTGCGATGGACAAATGACTCGCTTAAAGCGCACAGGCGAGAATGTGTCACGATTCTTGGAATGTTGATTCAGAGTAGCGACGATTTCGTGTAAACACTGAAATTCTGATAAACATATTAGGTTGGACCGAAAGTTCGTTCGCACCATTTTTAAAAATTCATAACTTCTAATTTTTCCAACCGATTTGATTGCTTTTATTTTTGTATGAAAGAGTAAGTCATGCTCTTTATAATGACATCTTAGCTGCTTACAAATGATCGCCTGTTGCATATACAGGAGCGATAGAAGAAAATTGGTCAAAATTTGAATTTTCTGTGTAGGGTCATAAAAAATCCGGAACTTGCAACAAAAATCGGAGCAGTCGATATTGTGGGTTCTTTCACTAGCTCTTTCCAACAGTGCAAAGTTTGTGCCGATTGAGCGTCTCATTAAAAAGTTATGATTTTCGAGCAAGCAATATAAAAGGGCGAATTTGATTTATTTTGGCATTTTTCAGGGAAATTGTAACTTTTGATAGAGACGCTCAATCGGCGCAAACTTTGCACTGTTAGAAAGAGCTGGTGAAAGAACCTACAATACCGACTGCTCCGATTTTTGTTTTCTCGATTTTTTATGACCCTACACAGAAAATTCACATTTTGATTAATTTTCTTCTATCGCTCCTATCTATGCAACGGATGATCACTAGCAAGCAGCTAAGATGAGCTTGACTTACTCTTTCATAAAAAAATAGAGGCAGTCAAATCCGTTTGAAAAATCAGAAGTTTTTTTCGAAAGTTCGTTCGCACCATTTTTGAAAATGGTGCGAACGAACTTTCGGTCCAACCTAATATTAGGTCGTTCCGAAAGTTCTTTCCGTTTTTCTAACCTATCATAAAAACACGTGGAATGAAGGTAGAGGAACGCTTTAGGCACTATCCGACGCAGCTTTTCTTCCTCTTTTCAACTGTCGTATTCCTGTGCTGCTTGCTCTTGTGGTCTGTGAGATAATGGCCGAAATTTCGCGCCCATGGTTTTTACCATGTCCAAATTTGGCAATTTTTCACAATCTTCTTTTTTGACTTTTACGAAAGCTTTGATAGCAGTCAGATAGAGCAGACAAAGTGCAATTCAGTGCAATTTTTCGCTGTTTATAGCTAGCCTTAAAATTTTTTAGGATAATTTTTTTAATGCTATCAAATTCCACTTTTAGGGACGCCAAGAGCCATTGAACATAAGACGGCGCACAACTAAGGTGTCATTCGATGCAGCTTTTCCTTCTCTTTCTAATAAATGTAATTCTTGTAATTCTTCAATTTGCGGGGTCTTTGGCGATAAAGTTTCCATAATTCTTGATTTTGAACCCGCCCCAGTCTGTACACGTAAAATGCGAAACCTTATATTTACAAGCGGTAAACACTCAGTTGCTTTGTAAAAATTGTGGATAATCGTAACTGACTTTAAAAAGCTTCAAAATCCGCATACTTGCCAGTGTTCGGGGCTTTTCTGTATTTTGGGACTTTGCAAAAGTTAAGACTTTTGGAAAAATTATCTCAAAAAATACTGAAAAGCCAGCTTGATTTGCCAAAAAAATGTATTGCATTGCACTTTGTTTGCTCTATTTGCTTGCTATCAAAGCTTCCCCGAAAGTTAAAAACGAAAATTGTGAAAATTGCCAAAATTGGACATGGTAAAAACCAAGTGTTCAAAATTTCGGCGATTACCTCAGTGATCACAAGAGTAAGCGACATGAGAATATGACTGCTAGAAAGAGGAAGAAACGCTGCGTCGGATAGTGCCTAAAGCGTTTCCCTACCTTCATTCCACGTGTTTTTATGATAGGTTAGAAAAACGGAAAGAACGGAACGACCTAATATTAGGTTGATGCAAAAATAATGAGCGTTTTCCCATTTTTCACTTTAACTTGCTATAACTTTTCATGAAATCTACATTTTGAAATGTGATAAGAACCATCAGATGCAGCGAACCTTTCCCAGTACAGCGCACATTAAGCTATTCATATCTCGTATGGGCAGAAAAATATGGATTGAAAAACAAAAAAGTTTTTTTCTGAAGTCTTGTTTTTGACAAAACATAACTCCTTTCACACTTTGTTATTATAATTTTTAAGCAGCCTATCTTGTAGCCGCAAGCCAGTAGTAAATATACATGGAAAGGGCTTGGAGAAAAAAGATTTGCGAAGAGGGAAAATCGAAATTCAAAAATATCAACTTTTTCAGCATTTTTTCAGTAGGCCTCAAAACCCGAAGTATAGAATTTTCTAATTTTCTGCGTACTAAAAAGCTGGATGTTTTTGCAAAAACTGCTAATAGGATTTCTACCCTCACGCTTACAGAGATGAGCAAAGTTTGAGCGACTGCATTCTACAAGAGAAAGTTATGGGCTCTAAGATGACCACAACCATTACCCATGTTAAGCCGCCGATATCTCACTTTAGATAACTTCGAAAAATACGTTAAAATATGCATAATGTAGACAATTTCCATTACATATAGAGGCTATATTTTCGATAAACCACCTTCATTTGCGCTCAAATTCTGGCCAGGAGAATGAATGCAACGAATCTGATTTTAAGTGTGATTATTTGAAGCTCTATAAATTTTTAACAGAGTGGGCTAGAAGTCCCTTTCGAACATCATTAGATAGAGCATGAAAAGAGCTCTCTAACAATGTGCTGAGACCTTTACAAAAAAAAGTTTGATGGAGAAAAGTTGTTTTGAAGAAAGTCCTTAGAAAGCGCTCATTATTTTTGCATCAACCTAATATATTGATTCAATCCGAAAGTGGTTTCGCTTTTTTCAAACGGACGCCGTTTGTGATGGAACAAAGATCTCTAAGAGATAGTGAGCTCAGGTAACGATAGATAGAGCAAACCTTACAGGATACAGCAAAAGTTTTTTCTCTTTTTCAAAGCTCGCCGTAATTTTTCAAACATTTTTTAACCAAAACCATCGGATTTTTGCAGGTCTTCGTCAGCCACAATCGCAACAAACACCAGTGAGTTTTCGGGATTTGGAACTTCCAAGGTGGTATATGACTCAATATTGATTTTACAAAGCAAATGAGAAAGTTTTGAAATATCAAATTTCGAGTTCTTCGAGACAGCCTTGGGCGCGTTAAAAAACACGAGTTATGATGATTTTATTCCCGAAGACTGAACGAATCGGAACAAAAAACACCTATTAGAAAGAGGGGAAAAGTTGCATCAAACAGCGCCCGGGCTGCTGATCCTCTGATTACGAGGTTTGAGCTGATCAAGTATAAAAATTGGTAGCATCAGTGAAATTTCATTCAAAAATTTTGAGGAGTTATGTGAAGGAGAAAAAAGTTGTTTTATATTTTGTAGGGTTTGCTCTATCTAATCGTTACTTGAAGTCAATCTGAGAATTGACATGAAAGTTTCAAAAAATGTGAAACTTGATTATCTCAAAAAGCATGGGTCGCAGATTTTGGTTATTTTTCGAAAGCACATTGAGTACGCTGCAACGCTCTCATTTGGAAAGAGGATAAAATTCTGCATCGAATGCTACCAGCACCTCCTAGAGATCTTTGTTCGATCACATGTGGCGTGGCGTCCGTTTGAAAAAAAAAGCGAAATTACTCTCGGAATGACCTTATTAATTGCTTATATGCACACGCCCGCAAAGATTGTGTCCACTGTCATAGCTCTTCGAATGATTAGCAAAGAACGTTTTTTGCGAATTTTTTTTCCAACAAAATTCTCATACATTCATGCTGTCACCTGACAAATCCAGAGGTAAGTGTGAATGTAGAGCGTGTGATTACAACGTTGAATCATTTTGCTTTCTGATAGAAGACTCAAATGCTCAGCCTTATCTACAGGTTATGCAAAATGCTGTGCTCACCGGTGCAGTACGAAATAGAGAACATCACTGCTTATATGCTAGATATGAAAAGCTCACAATGTCGCTCGGTGAGTTGTGAGAATTACATACAGTGTAAGAACAAAATTGCTGTCGATTGCCAATGAGAGACTAAAGTAATCGGGAAAGGAGAAAGAGGATAGGCCACTAATCTTTTGATCCGAGAAGGAAGCAAAAATAAACTCGAAATTACGAGAACTCGAATTTTAAAAAAAGATGAACTTGATATAAACAGAGATTGAAAAACGGATGGTAAATTGACCACAGTTTTTTTACGAAGGAAGAACGTGCAGAATTTAAGCGTATGAACTCAGTTTTGCTGCTCGAATTCATTGAAAAATAAGTTGCTATACTTGATATAGCAACTAACTAGTCTATAGGTCTTTGCAAAATGTAGGCCGTTTATTGGTTGGTACTTTTTCCTCGTTTGTGCTACAATATCGAATACGCATTTGAAAGAGGTTGATTGTGGTACTTCTACCCATATGCCCTCTTCTAACCCATATGCTGAGATCTGCATAGACGCTGCCTTTTGGAGAGTGGTGGGTAATCCACTGTTGACGAAAATTGTACAAATGAACTTAAGTAAGATAACATTTGCTTAGTGTCTGTAATCATCAGGAGGCAGTCGCATTGATCAGCATCATCGCATACATCCTGATTTTCGTTGTCGGCGTTATCGGCAACGTCTGCGTCTGCGTAGTCATCTGCAGCAACGAGTACATGCATACGCAGACTAATTTCTACCTCGCCAGCCTTGCTATTTCTGACTTACTGCTCCTGATCACAGGTAAAATTTTCTTTCAACATACTTTTTCAGGGAAGTCTGAAGTGTATTAAGGTCTTCCACTGGATCTCGCTATGGTGGATTTTTATAATTATAGACTTGGAGATTGGGCATGCAATGGGCATGCATATCTAATCCGTTTCAATAGCGCCGCTTCCATATTTATCATTTGCGCTGTTACAGTGGAGAGATGGTGGGCTTTGCGGTGAGGGTCCTGTTCGTACCGCGAAACGGCACGATGTAAATATGAGGTACGAATGTCTCGAATATGCTTTATTTCTCACACTATGTAAAAGAGAGCTCACACAATGTAAAAGAGATTACAAGAGAACATAAGAACCGAAAACATAAGTTGCCTGAGAAGATTACCTTCGGGCTCCTCGTCGGGATAGACCTTACCGCTCCCCCTTGAACCCCCGGCTCCCCCTTTAAGAGTCCTGCGGCTCTCTCAAAACATAATTCACAGATAAGCCGTAATGTTTATAAAACTATGATAAAGCATGCAGTGCCGTGTTTCATCCATTGGAATCATGATCGCGAGAGTCATGACAGGTCCGAATTTGGTGCAGTTCACATTCAAGCAATTTAAAAATTTTCAGTCACGATAGAGGGATAGGAAGTAACCAATTGAGGTATTTCGCTGTATTGCCCTGCCAACCTTATTGTCCAGTTGTTCAGCCGTTTAGCAAGTAGCTTGCTTAGATTTATTAGATAGAGGGCAATATCGCGTCACTTTTCTCAGAGACGGGACCAAATTCTCATGGTCAGTCAAGGCTGGGCACAGCTGGCACCGGGTCAGCTGAATCTCATTTTAGTACAAAAAGCGAAAGGGATATTGTTCTTGTGGCAGAAAAGACACAAAAATTGCGACGTTTTTTTAGTCGACATTTCGTTTTTGACGGTTTCGTACGTTTAAGGTTTATGGTCAAAGGGGATTTCCTACGAATTTTTCAAGGTCAAAGGCGTCTTTGTTTTGAAAATTCCCTGGCGCCAGCTCTTGCCGAGCCCTGTGGTCAGTTCCTGCATGAAGGAGGGAATTCATACTCTGCTCGACAAAAACATAATTTTTACTACCAAAGTTTAATAAAAATGGGTATGCATCAGGAAGTAATTGCCGCAGCACAAAATATGATTCGAACTTTTTTGTGATCTAGCAGTACTTTCTTTTACAAAGGCGACACTGTAGATTGTGTAGGAGTGCTCTACACGCTATTATGCAGATGAGCATTTCCACGCAAAAAAGCTCAGCACAGAAATTTGATGTGCTTCAGGCACCCACTCCGTCAACATTCAAACCGGAATGTTAAAAGAACAATACTGATCGTCACTCTTCTGTGGTTGACGGCTATTCTCATCTCCATTCCAGTTTTGTTCACCTCCAAAGTGCAACGTGTTCCGCTGCCTGAATGGGGAGTCGGTCAGATTTGGACCAGTAGTGTACGTTCATGTTTCCATTTGCATAAAGTGGACGGATAAGTGATTCTTGGAGAGAGGTTTTTTCCTTTTCAGTCCTTTTTCCTAAAATTAGTGACGATCTGTGATTGTTTATCTGCCCACTTGCGCAGTGGCGCACCGAAGGCCCCCTTCCGAGAATGGTCGCGAAGTTTTTGAAATTTACTTACATAGGTTATAAAAATGTGCAATTGGCTTGATTCTTCTAAACAATTGAAATAATTTCTGAAATTTTTCAAAAATTCAAATTAGCCCTATAAAAAAATTTTTTCGGGGCGCGGCGGCGGCCACGCTTCTTTTTTTTCTAGATTTTAGGGGTTTTGGGCCCGCAAAAAATTCTGAGAAGCGCCCGAAAATTTTTTTCGGAGTTGCTAACGCCACGCACCTTCAGGCAAGAAAAAAATTTTTTTGTCCCCCCCGATCCGAAATCCTGGGACCGCCACTAAATTGGGGTTTAGAAAGAGACCTTGTTTGCTGAGGCAGCCGATCTATAACAATCGCCTCTTCTCGGTCATGCCAAAGGACATAGCGCCCACAAGCAACAATTTGGTACATACAGTGTATTATAATGTGCTTCGACAAAGATCCACGTTGCGCGCAGGCTTATCAAAAATGCGATTGTCCTCGCAGACACTTCTGTAACATTTCGCAAACTGACCACTGAACTGAAAATCTTATATATAAAGCTGAATGTCTGTTTGTCTGTGTGTATGTGTGTGTATGGTGTGTGTGTGTATGTGTGTATGGTGTGTGTGTACGTGTGTGTCTGTGGTGTGTGTGTGTACGTATGTTCCGAATAGAAAATTCTATTTCTCAACCGATCCGGACCAAACTTGGCACACATACACTCCGGGGCAGGGCGGGTGTCATAGGCTACTTTTGGTCATCGATCGATATCGACCTTATCGATTTTTTGCAAAATTTGAGCTACGGGGCTGGGAGTTGGCACAGGAGGGTAATCGAGCATGCTGATTACAAATATGTTATTAACAGGGCCGGGCGGAGCCGGGTTTGCCAACCAGTGATTAATATAATTCCTTGCAGTCGCTACTAATCATGATGGTCGCTGAACTATTGTGGACCTTGCTAAGCGGTACGACACTGTACAGCTTCCCGTCTGCGATCGCGTTTTACCTAAGTCGGGCTAATTGAAGTAGAGATACATCAAATAATACAGAGCGCGGCGAAAATCTGGCAGTCTAGGTACTTTTTCAAACAAAATTTGAAGCAAAGTACCTATAGTATAAATTTCGGTGCACACATGATTCGAACCTTCATAAATACAGCGCAGCTCTTAAATATAAGGTTGCCTGTTTTGGTTCAAAGTAGCGCTTCGGATTTCTGGCAGTCGTAATGAAATTCGTCCCACGCCTCCACCGTAGCTGCTTCTTTCATTAGGCAAATATGCAGTATGATAGAGCAAAGTTTTGGCTACGTTATATTACGGAGAAATTTTTGCGATGTTTTTTGGCCTGTTTGGGCTGGTCGATTTAAAAAAAATCCCCTGCGGCTTATACACCTGAAAATAAGGTATGTTGGGCCAATATGCTAGTACCAACAGCTGATTGATGAGAATTAACAATATTTCCATAAAATTTTTGAAAAATGCACAAGTTCTTAATTTCTTAGGATTTTACCATAAATGGAATTCAGTGGCGTACCGACCCCCCCCCCATGAGAATGAGTTGCGAAAACTTTGAATTACTTACATTAATGTGCAGGTGACTTGTTTATACTGTAAATATTAGGTTGTCAAGAAAATAATGTCGGTTTTTATTTGCTTGCTTTAACAAAGCAACCAGACTCAACCCAACAAAGGGTAAGGGGTACTGTTCGATAGAGCAAAGCAAGCTCCACAAGATGGCTTTCATGATTTTGCGCCAAGCTCGACCCATGGAAAGTTCGAACTCAAAATCTGAAGATTTCTAAATGTCCAAAAAATCGAGAAAAATCAGATCTTCGTCCAAATAATTTCTACGGACCTCCCACTCACACACGTCAATACTTTCGATATCTCATATCCATATGTGCAAATGCTGTACTTTTTCCCTGACTAGAAATTGAGAAAACGAAAATTTTCGTGTTTTTCTAAAAGCAATGCTGAGCCGTTTTTGCATATGTAGTTCTATACTACAAGACTAGGTAAGTATAACTGTAGATTTTCAGCCCATTCCAAGCGGTAGTTTTCGAAAAATTACGAATTCGGATTTTTTCGTTTCAGTTTCAGTGCTAAAATCGACATTTCTCGTACCGCTCGAAATAGGCTGAAAACCTACAGTTATGCCTACCTAGGCTTGTAGTATAGAACTAAATATGCAAAAACGGCTCAGCATTGCTTTGAGAAAATCAGGAAAATTTTCGTTTTCTCAGTTTCTAGTCAAGGAAAAAAAACGGCAATCGCACATATGGATATCAGATATCGATAGTATTGATGTGAGCGAGTGGGAGGTCCGTAGAAATTATATGGACGAAGATCTGATTTTTTTTTGATTTTTTGGGCATTTGGAAATCTTTAGATTTTGAGTCCGAACTCTCCGTGGATCGAGCATGGCGCAAAGATATGAATACCATCTTGTAGAGCTTGCTTTGCTCTATTGAACAGTACCCCTTACCCTTTGTTGGGTTGAGTCTGGTTGCTTTGTTAAAACAAGCAAATAAAAACCGACATTATTTTCTTGACAACCTAATAATTGAAATAATTTTTTGAAAAAATACAATCAATCATGATTCCATCACAAGAGTTAGCATATAGTGGCCTGACTAAGTGTCAGAGTGGTGGACAGCCACTTGAAGTGTACCTCTGAAAGTCTTAAAAAAGGCGACCCTGCCGAAACGTCGACCTGTTTACTGATGTCGTTGTATTGATAAACGGATAACAATCTTGAAACGCTTACTAACTCACTGAGAACTAATCTATGTGAAGAATTACTTTTTCCTCCCTTAATTTTGATTCAGCCTCTGCATTCATTCTCCTACTTTTACTTAAAGATGCACTGGCTCGCCATGATCAATGAGAGATTAATTTGATAATGACTGATGAGCTTCTGTTTTTATATAAGCTGACATAAAAATAAATCGTTAGGAGGTCTTGAAAGTTGCCGCAAAGGATAGAAGAGGTCAACTGACTTACACAGAAAGAACTTCATAACAAACAAGAAACGGGTGTACTCATAGATTTTGAGTTTTATATGCATATAAGGGAAGACGGAATGTTGCAGTAGAGCAAACAATGACAAAGTCGAAGTCATTAAAAAGTATATCGTGCATGGACTGCATGGACAATTTAGATCTCAGATGACAACGAAACCATCTGTGGTACGGAATTCTGTGATTGGGATAATTCGAACAAAGGCCTTCATTATCACTGCACCGGCTTCGGTTTTGTCCTCGTCTACTTGATACCATGTGAGTAGGGTCTATCCAACCTTTGCATTCATTCTTTCTATTTTAGTGATTTTGGTTACTGGAATGCATTTTGATATCGCCAAAAGAATAGCTCCTCCAGATTTGCTCAAGTGTAAACATTGTATAGATGAACAAACAAAGGCTTCCAGAAATGTATTCAACATGCTAGGTGGGTTGATTTGCGGCGAATCTAAGGTGTACAGCAGTGCATACCTCACAGAAAGTGGGATAAATGCGAGATATTGCAACTTTCAACTGTCACGCAGACTCTACCATTGAATTTTTGAGCTCAAAAAGTGTAAAGATTTTGCATCCAAAATCAGAGAACTTTACATGCATGGAGATTGAGCAAAACCCCAAATGTTAATCAAACAATGCTTTAGTACCAGTGGCGCACCGAGGGGGGGGGGCGAGTAAATCAAATAAAAAATCTCGAATAAACGAATATCGAATAAATTCAAGGTTCAATAATTCTCGAATGAATGAGTTCCGAATAAATTCGGAAAATCAAAAATATCGAATAAATATCGATTATATTCGAACATTGTAAGTCGAATTTCGAATAACTATTCGAATGATTTATCTAATAACTAGAGCAACCAGATCTCAGTGCCGACATATCTGGCTGAACCCGACAGTAACCTTTTATTCCCTATACCAACTCCTAGCTCAGAATTTTCCAAAAATCGCTGAAATCGAGAAAATATTCGGTTTTAATCAGCATCCTCTACCCCCTGTACCAACTCCCAACCTCGTAACTCAAGATTTTCCAAAAATCGACAAAATCGATAAAGTAAATTTCTATTCATAATTGGCACCTTCACTTACCCCCTTGTAACCTCCCATTCCCGCAGCATTTCTCCAAAAATCGATAAAGTAAGTTTTTATCCATAATCAGCACCCTCACTCACCCCCTTGTGTGGTATAAGCTAGTCGTGGACGAAGGCATGTGGTTTATTCCGCGAAGCGAGCACGAATACGTCTATAGCTCCGGGCATACTACAGGCTTTCAGTGGCGACGTGGTCTGGCAATAGTTAAATTGTCCAAAATTTTAATTAGAAGTACAAAATGTAGGGCATTTATCTTTTTAGTAAGTTGTACACGCTAAACTTTTTGGGTAAGCTGGCGTTACATTTGAAGACAGCTCGTAACTGGCAAATCACGTACGGCGATCTAAACTGTCTAATCCTCCACTACAACTGCGATGTCCTTTACTCATAATACACCAATTCGCAAAAAATCTCCAAGGCATATAGCGAATAGAGGCAGCTGTGCAATATGACTTATGCGAGCAAGAGTGCTCAATAGTGTGAGCTTTGCGTACTACAAGCATGAGCAATGCAAAGAGAGAAAAACAGACATTTTGAAACACTTTCAATATATGAACTCGGAACATAAGCTTAAATTTGATAGCTTCTTTGCTGATTTGGTGCCAATAGCAGTGCGAACAATCTCATTAATCGAAAAAGCATTGATTGAAATCCACATATGATTTTTCTCCTCAAGCAGTCGGAAGAATGCGACCCTCCACACAGTTCAAAGGTCATAACGGTTGCAAAAGATGCATTACCGAGATTAGCGAAAAAAAAAACGCGGACGAAGTGAGCTTGATACACAGCAGTTGGCTCTGAAACAAAGTCGAATAATATGAATACGAAGTTCTCGGAATACGAATTCGAATAAACATTCGAATAAAACATTCGAATGGAATCTATTCGAAACCCCGTTTTTTGATTATTCGAGTTTTCGAATAATATTCGAATCCTCGTTTTTTGATTATTCGAGTTTCAAATATTAGGTCGTTCCGAAAGTTCTTTCCGTTTTTCCAACCTATCATAAAAAGACGTGTAATGAAGATGGGGAAACGCTTTCGGCACTGTACGACGCAGCTTTTCTTCCTCTTTTTAGCAGTCATACTCCCACGTCGCTTACTCTTGTGATCACTGAGATGATGGCCGAAATTTCGAACCCATGGTTTTTGCCATGTCCAACTTTGGCAATTTTTCACAATCTTCTTTTTTGACTTTTGGGAAAGCTTTGATAACAGCCATATAGAGTAAACAAAGTGCAATACAATGCAATTTTTTCGCATATCCAGCTGGCCTTTCAGTGTTTTTTGAGATAATTTTTCCAAAAGTCTTCACTTTTGCAAAGTCCCAAAATACAGAAACGCCCGAACACCGGCAGATTTACGGATTTTGAAGCTTTTAAAAGTCAGTTACGATTATACACAATTTGTAGAAAGCAAATGAGCGTTTACCGCTTGGAAATACAAGGTTTTGCATTTTACGTGTTTAGGCTGGGCCGGTTCAAAATCAAGAATTATGGGAACTTTATCGCCAAAGGCCCCACAAATTGGGGAGAAATTATATTCATTAGAAAGAGAAGGAAAATGTGCATCGATTGGTACCTTAGTTGTGCGCCGTCTTATGTTCTATGGCTCTTGGCATCCTCAAAAATGGAATTTGATAGCATTAGGAAAATAATTCTAGAAAATTTTTGAAGTTAGCTAACAACGCCGAAAAATTGCATTAAATTGCACTTTGTTTACTCTATCTGCCTGTTATCAAAGCTTTCCCAAAAGTCAAAAAGGAAGATTGTGAAAAATTGCTAAAGTTGGACATGGTGAAAACCATGGGCTTGAAATTTCGGCCATTACCTCAGTGATCACAAGAGTAAGCGACATATGAGTATGACTGCTAGAAAGAGGAAGAAAAGCTGCGTCGTATAGTGCTCAAAGCGTTTCCCTATCTTCATTCCACGTCTTTTTATGATAGGTTGAAAAAACGGAAAGAACTTTCGGAACGACCTAATATTATTCGAAAATGAAAGAACTCCGGATATCGAATTTCGAATACGAATATATTCGAATGTTTTATTCGAATGATCGAATTTCTATTCGATTCGGACCCAAGTATGGAGGGGGGGGGGGTAGCCCCCCCCCTCGGTGTCCGTACGCCACTGCTTCGTACATATACGGACCTGGTTCAAACATGCAAGCTTCTTCTACCAAATCTTCGTTAATACTGGAGTACCTATCAGTGACTTCAGTATTCTAATATTGCGAATCTGTTCAATCAATAAAAGTTTCTAAAGTGCACTCGAACACTTCGAGAGGGATTGCTCTTGAAATGAACCTCGAAAAAAGGCAAAAATTTGTCACGAGACCTTGACTTATTTTGCACAGGTTTTGAAATTGGGCTAAACATTCCACGAAAACTTTCGATCGCTAAAGTGCCTCCATAAATGATATTCGCTCTGTTACTGGCTTGAAACAAATTGAAAAGGTACTCGCGCTGTTCTAAATAATGCGGTAATTATGAGATCGTGCTCTAGTGCAAATGAAACTGTTTTGTGGTTGCAACTCCATCGAGCTCCTATTTCTGAAGACACGTGGATACACCTCATTGCGGGGAAGGGTTGAATTAGTGTTGATACATATTCATGCACGCCAAAAGCTGCACCCGCCTTTAATTCTTGTCAGCAGATTGTGGTGAAATTTACCATTCCGTCCCATTTTTGCACAACACCTCTCCGTATCTGCCTGAGACTGTTCCCTGCGCACCCATTCGTGATCAACATCTCAACCCCCCTCTCCCTTTACGCTGCCCAACCATAGGTGCGATAGTGCGAGAATGACTCCTCCAGGGTAAAGGGGGTCACAGTGGTCGCAGTCCCTCTAGGTTGAAGGGTGTTTCACTTAGTAGAGAAATTATAAAATGTCGACCGGGGGGGGGGGGGGGGGCATGGTGTTCTCTCATCAATTTTTCTAGTCAAAGTTTATAATTTTTGAATTCCTTGCCATCACTAGCTGTCTTTTTTCTGAAATGTCAAACTATGTGCTGCTGGACTAGCACACAATTATATTTCTGACCAGCACCTTGTATTTTTTTAAATTTCCTTTTCCCTTTTTTTGCATCACCTTGCCTATTGAAATTACCATAGAAGATGTGCATGCGAGAAGATATGTTTCGGAAAGAGTTAGACAATTTTTAAGCATTTACGGACTTTTCAAAAGAAGATATTCGTAAATCTGTAGAGAACACAACGTCAGCAAGGGAAATGTTTTCAAAGCCATCTTGTCCTCCGCTTTTAGAGCATATATAGTTTGCCCGGAGTCTATTGAAAAAGCGCCTGGTGAAGGGTGCGGGTAGTGATTTCTGGATATTTACGACTTTTTAGAATAAAAAAATCCGTAACTTCTGAAAATAAACAAATGGTACATGAATATGGTCACCATTGAAATCGCCTCGTCCTCCGCTTTCAGAAAAATAGGTCACGAAAGTTTTGTCCGTTTTTTCATCGCTCGCTAAAACTCATTTGATTGAGATTTTTATCCTCTTTCTTACAGCTATGTTTGCTCCCTGATCTACCCTGTCTTTGCAATGTTTCGCCACCACTTTTTGAGCAGCTCAGCAGTAACGCCAAATCTTTTTTGAATTTCAAAATTTTTTATCCTGATGTTTGCAAAGAACGCTGGTAACTGTTGTTTGGAACAAACCTTTGGCTATGTACACATTTTAGGTAATATTGGCCACTTTTACCAAGTCCGTTATAATTATTTACTCAATCAAAACCGCGGTTTTTTGAATGCGTTTACCACGTAAAAGTAGCGAAAATTCCAAAAGGCTGTTTTTTTTTGGAGCAAACCAAACTTAGTTATGTTGCATAAATAATGTTTAATGAGAATCACGTTTCAATTCGCAGAAACTGCAAAAGCCTTCGTGTATTTGCTGCTGCAGTTTCGTGTTGCATGACTTTACCAAAAATCAATACCTTCGAAGAAATAATACCAAAAATTAATACCTTCAATAAACCAAAATCATTTCGTAGTCCGAGAATAGCTCTATATGATCCATACTTAGACCTTCCCGAAACTTTGAAATGAAAATGTCAAAAGTTAGCCTAACTTTGAGCAGATAAAATTGACGGGTGGAAAATTATGGCGATTACAACCGCATCGAATATATGTTGAAACTCATTCAGGTCTTTATTGTGCGTGGTTTTATAGTGGTTTGAGGAAATGGATTAGACTTTCGGGACAACCTAATATATATTTGCTTAAGGTTCGTTACAAAAAGCGCCGATGAAGGGTGAATAAGACTTTTATAATGGGAGTGCTCAAGTAGAGGCTTTTTTACCATTGTAAAAAGACATCTACTTGAGCA